TCGTGGTTGTGGTGACGATAGGTTTTACAATCCGACAAAAGCTCGTAGGGCGCATCAGGGCCGTCAAAATGATCAGCTCCGGAGAGCTCAGAGCGACGTTTCTGCAAGCCAATCCCCTGTTCTTAAACCGACCACGGTGTCCTCGGTGATTAGAGAAACCGAATACGGCGATGGGTGTGAAGAGCTCCCTATATCCATTGCGATGTCGGCTTTTGAGCCAGTCGTATCGTCGCTGAGTAATCTCGAGCGGTTCTTGCAGTCAATCGTGCCATCTGTACCTGCACAGTACCCTTCAAAGGTTTGAACCTATCGGAATTGGGTTTCTTTTTTCCCTTGGCTGGGATTTTGTTTTCTTTAGTATGAAAAAGTTGATTTCCAAATATTTTTAATTTTTACCTTTTGCGACTCTCAGTATGGCCCTCCTACCTCTAATTAGCGGCCACAATTTGTTTTACTGTTCGATGTTTAAGTTCTCTGTTACAACTCTGAGCCATACGACAAATAAAAGATTATGTGAAGAAAAAATCCAGTTTGCAATATGCAGATTCCGGTGGAAATTTTAATTGCTTTCCTTTTCTTGTATTTCTTAATGTTCTTCTCTATCACCTCAAGTTCATCAATGATCGATGAGGGGTCATTTTTCATAACTTGGATCAACTTTAACGCCACAATCAATGACCTTAATAATCAAGAGCTCCCCTGATTTCGTCTCCAATTGTATTTCATTGCAGACAACGATGAAGGGTTGGAGAACCTGTGACGCGGAATTGCAACCATACTTCGTCCTAGGTGATTTGTGGGAGTCTTTTAAGGAATGGAGTGCTTATGGCGCAGGTGTGCCTCTTGTATTAAACGACAGTGACAGTGTTGTCCAGTATTATGTACCATATTTATCTGGTATACAGATATATGGTGAATCCTTGAAGTCCTCTGCGAAGTCGAGGTATTCTTGTTCACTGGAAATATATTCTGTCTAGTACATTAAATTTTGATAAGCTGTTAGTATGATTTACTGGCGAAATATAACCAATTTTTCAAGTGAGGGCCAGTTTCTCTGAATGTACATGTGTTTCTTGGTCTAACCATACGTAATAATTAGAATGGTTACTGGGCCGTTCATGGATTTTTCTTGGTCAAAAGAACTATTGGAGTTGATAGCTAATATTTGGTTCGGCCATGTTATAAGTGGCAATACGTAATAAGTTTGGAAAGTACAACCTGGTGAAGGTGCTAGGAGCCAAGCATTGTCTTAGATTGTGATAAATTCTTTCTAGTTTGGTGTCATAAAAATCCAATTAAATCCCTCCATAAGTTCATTGCTTCGGTTTTAAGAATAACGTACTTCGATTTACCAAATGGGTTGGTTTAGTGTATAAAGTTTAACATTGAGTTGGTGATTAATATGCTGAATACTTCAGTAATTTGAACATGGACCTATGTGGTGTAGGCAACCAGGTGAGGACAGTGATAGTGATTTCAGAGATTCTAGTAGTGATGGTAGTAGTGATTCAGAACCTGAACGAGCACTAAAATACATGGGGAATCAACTCAATCATCACCATTTGTCTTCTGAGCTTTCTCGTAGAACGGAGAGGTTATCTTTGCGGGATCAGCTAATTGGACTTCAAGAAGACTGTTATAGTGATGAGGCTGAATCTCTTAATTCTCAAGGCCAGTTACTATTTGAGCATCTTGAACGTGATTTGCCTTATAGTCGGGAACCTTTGGCAGATAAGGCAAGTTAATGCTTTTACAGAACAGCCCCCCCTATTGGAATCAGACGAAAATAAAATACCCAAGTCCTTTCTTTTCAGCTCTTGTAACCTTACTCTAGTTTTGATACTTTCTCCAGGTATCAGATCTTGCCTTTCGGTTCCCTGAGCTCAAGACATTACGAAGTTGTGATCTATTGCCTTCCAGTTGGTTTTCTGTGGCATGGTACTGTCAAAGCCTTGAACCTAGTAGGACTTTTTATTCATGCACTTATCACTTGTGCTTTGGTGGTTCATCTGTAGGTATCCAATTTACAGGATTCCAACTGGACCAACCTTAAGGGATCTAGATGCCTGCTTCCTCACCTTTCATTATTTGTCTACGCCAATGGGAGGTAATTGTAGCTTCTTTCTTCTTAAACGACTAATATTTTGTGTGTAATGCTTTCTTTCTTTTGTTCTATATAATGGTTTTACCCCTCCCCCCTCCCCCTCCATTTCATCTTTTTCTTCATTGGAACTATTTTATAAGGAATCCAATTTTCATAGCTAAATTTATTGTTTTTCTATGTTATTTACTCCAACTTGTGTGGAGATTGGTCTCCGACTTTCTGTTGAAATGGTTTTTATTTATAAACTGGTGCTCTTCATTCAAGTATTCATGGACGATTTGGTATCTTAAGAATGGAAATACCAATGTGATATGAACCGTGAAGGACATTAGATTACTATTCATATATTTTTTTTATAATTTTGATGTAATTTTATCATTTTTATAACATTAAGTACGAGTGTTTGTGTCATTTTGAATTGCTCGATGATGTGACTTGCATTTAGGATTTTGGGAAGCTATTTAAAGCTTGAGTATTAGGTTGTAAGAATAGATACCGATGAATTGAGCTTTAAGTCTTTGCACTTTTTCCTTCAAACTTAGCTTAAGAGAGCTTCTTGAATTTTGCAATTCATGTATTGAGTTGCATGCCAAATACAGTTAAATATGATTAATTTTCCCATCTTGTGGAGTGTTTGAATTTTGAGAAAAAGAACTTATTATTGACTTGGGAGTTTTGATTTTAAGGCAATCTATGTCGAACCTAATCCTTAGAGTGATATCACACCGATTTTGGAGTGGTAGTGTTGGTGAATTGGGGATTCACATACCGAAAAGGTTCATTATTTCAATTTGCTAGGGTTATTTTCCCATTTGATATCCGAGCATTTCTTATATCATATCACAATGGCTTGTTTTTTAAATAGTTGTGTGTAAAAGATTTGGCCCGCACATTGGACCTGTTTGACGAAAACCAACGTCCATTGAGTTCTGATTTTTATGTCCTGGCTGTTATTTGTTGCGATGGAAATTTCAATAAACTGTTAATTATGTGGTAATTGGCTCCTCATGGTTCTAACTTTCAGACAAGTTGTATTTCTTCATGCAACATTGCGAATTTACAAATATAATTGCATCTGGGGTAGTTGTATCCGAATTGTTGATAAAATGATTGGCCTCTTCATGTTGGTTTGCTTCTTAAATCCTTCGATACTGATTCCTTCATATATCATTTACAGGGGCACGTAGTGTTCAAGGTCCTGTAGTAACGTATCCTAGTGATATAGATGGTATTCCTAGGATGTCCCTACCAGTTTTTGGTCTAGCTTCATACAAGTTTAGAGGGTCTTTATGGACTCCAAATGGCGGACATGAGTGGCAATTGGCAAATTCACTTTTGCAGGACGCCGAGGATTGGTTAAGAGAACGTTGTGTAAATCACCCTGACTTCATCTTCTTCAGCCGACGGTGAAATCCTTGCAACATGTACAATCCATAAACCTAAAGGTGGGAAGTCAAGATATCATAATTCAGTACCGTGTTGTAATTTTCTCTTTGTGATGCTGTTCTACTTCAGAAAATGGAAATGGAAAAGGAAAAGGAAAAAAGGAAGAGTTTGTGATGAGATGGTGAAAATAACAACAGTTTGTGATGGGATGGTGGTGAGGTTGGTAGATGACGAATTGAGAAAAGTTCAGACAAAGGTCAAAAAGGGAAAAAAGCAAAGCAAAAAAAAAAAAAAAAAAACAGTTGGATGAAGATGTAGAAGGTGTAGCAAAAACATTGCCCCCAAAGCTGGTGATACTTGCTGCTTGTGCTGCCTAGCAGGTTTTATCCTCTCTTTTTTCTCTTTAGTTACTGAAAGTTCTTTTTAATAAGTTATTAACTGTAGGTGAAATGAAAGGAAAAGAAAAAAAAAAGGAAAAAAGAAAAGAAAAAGAAAAAGAAAAAGAAAAAAAGAAAAAGAGGCCCTTTTTAGTGTGCTGATGAAGATGTTTAGAGTGTAAACTATGGAGAGGATTTTTGATAGGAAGGTTATGGTAGGAGTAAGCTAAGGTAGCTTATGTGGATCCCCCCCGCTCCAATGTATTTGAATGTTGGTTATGCTCCTTAGTTGCTATTGAAAACTGTATAATTTACTATGAAGAGCTTCGTTATCAATGAACCATGTCATTATTCAAGCTCTATCACTGTGTTCCTTGTTTGTTTTTTGTTTGAATGGAGAAGGGGTGAATCTTTTATGCAGGTTTGATCCCATTGTTTAGGTGTTTCAAACAAACTTGTTGTTGTTGTGTATCAAATAATGATAGCTGCCTGCATCATATTATATTGGCTTGGCTGTGCCCATACTTAATTTCTATTACTGTTTCATGACTGCCTTGCATTTGTGGTTGTTTTCAATTTGAATCCATTGTATGTATGTTGTAATGCCCCTTTTAAAAGTGGTTGTAGAGGCCTCAAAGTGCTTTCTTTTTGTAAAAAAATTATTTATAATTGTTAGTGTTTTGGTTCATATTCGACATTTTGTTTTCTAAAATTTGTCTCTAGGGTACTTATAATCAATGAATCTCTATTAGTATGAGACTTTTTGAGAAAGTCTAAAGTAAAACAAGGAATACTATCTCCATTGGTATGAGACCTTTTGGAGAAGCCCGAAACAAAATCATGAGAGCTTATGTTCAAAGTGGACAATATCATACCATTGTGGAGAGTTGTGTTCGTCTAACAATAACCCGTGCTTGACTCGAAAATATAGTTTTTGAAGAAAAAAAAAAATAAACACATACATCTGTTAGAGATCAGATAGTTTTAGAAATGTTTAGCTATAAATTAATGCAGTTAAGTTATATTTAGATTGAGAACTAAAATACGACCCGACTTCTCGACATACTGGACTATACTTGTCCAGTAAAAAGATCTCATCACGAAGCAAATTATATAATGGGAGTGAAAATAAATGGTTCAAAATTCAGATAAACATTGAATGTTGGAGGCAGTTATACCACAACAGATATGATAATAAAAGCTACATTTTTCACACCTGAATTATGTTTTGAAACCACTTTACATATTTATAATTTAGCAACAAGAACTTAACATTTTGTTCAATAAAAGCTCTAATCAACATTGAGTCTGCTGCAACTTCTAATAATCAAATCCTGCCATGGCTAAGCCTTCTCGAATCGTCCCGTTGATCGATCGTGCTGCTCGTGCCCTGAAAAACTAGGGGGCACCATGCCAACACCTTCATTCTGGTGCTTCTGCCAGCCTCCTGTATCAGCTCTGGAGTGCGCTATGTAGTAAAGTATTGAAAACACCAATGACAGAAATGTCAAGGCTGCTGCAGCGGCGAACACCCCGCGCCGAAGCATGGAGCACGACAAGTTCTTGATCGGCAATGCTCCTCTGAACTTGGTGTGGTAGGCATTCCTCACAGACCCAGCTAGCAACAAAGACTCAGCTCCCAAGAAGAGATGCCTAGATTCATTTCTCAAAATTTAGCTCTAAGAACATATGAAACAGATTGGGTTTACCACGATGAATCAACTTAGAATTTTCGATTTGGATTCAACCGTTAGTGTCACAACCTAACTATGGGGCTTAATTCCCCTTAAGGCTGGTCGTGAGCGTGTCAAGATCACGACGCTGTGCAGTAAAGAATGTAGGACCATGACAGTTAGCATCAGTTCATAATCCCAAACCATACAAGAGTCTCTCAATCATATCCTCATACAAACATTTTAAGCAAAACGAAGAATCCATTTATGGTGAAAGCAACTAAGCAGAAACATAATTCATCAACTCAGGACATATTTAATCCATGATGTTCAGTTAGTCAATACTGAAAATGAATGCTGAAACAGATATTTGGACAAACCAAGAATCACTAGACTAGGATTATAGTACTTTTTCGACAATCAAGAATTTCATTTTCATCCCATCTAAGCTGAATTGGTGAAGTTCTTCTGAATGGAACTCTATCACAAGATTATTTAGATTTGAGCAAAAGCAGTGGGATCAAGAAATGATCTCGAAAGTAAAGGCCATGCCAAGATTTTAGAGACAAGCTCTCCAATCTGCAGAAACTTTAATCAAAACAGTTCAAAATTCTAGGCCAAATGATTCACATAACTAGAAACAGGATTAGGGGAAGTCTAGATAAATGGATCCGTCGGTAGGTTCGAGTATAATTTGAGAACCGCAATAATTTCTCACCAATATTCTATTCAATTCGAGATATCGATTTACAAACAACTAGAGAGAGAAGAAATAGAAAAATACCAGGAAACGATGAAGAGGATGATGGCACAGACGGTGGATCCTCCACTTTTCAAGCCTTTACCACAGCAGAGACACCTCGTGACAACCATAAGCACTGTGTGGCTAATCAATAGCAAACCAAACGCCACAAGACCGTACACCGTCGACGCATCGGAGTCATAGACGCAGTGAGTAGTCTCGTCGTACTCATCTGGCTGTACCGTTGCCTTTAGGGCCCATAAACGCACACAAACAAGAACTTAGAAGCTTACGGAAGCCTAAATCCACAGAAAAATCAGAAAAAAGCGGAAGAGATACCGTGCTTCGGCGCATTTCAGCTCCGATGGCGAAGACGAAGGCAATTAGATGCAGAGAAGCGATTATAGCTACGGAGGCCAAAGAAGTAGCCATTATTGTCGTTATTGCGGTTCTAATCGAACTCCGGTGAGGTCTCCGATCAGCGGCGGCCACTGCCAGTTCTCTTGTTGTCCATTTTTCAAGAAATAATATATATCATTGCTTTGGATGCTTTTTGTTTTTACTTTATTTTCTATATTTACTTTTACTTTTTGTTTTTATTTTTATTATTTATTTTTTTTTGGGGAAAAATATTATTTTAATTTGATATAAGTAGGAATTTTCTTACCCAAAATTTGGAAGTGTATAAACTAAAAAAAATTTAAATTTAATATTTTATGCATTTAAATTCTAATTTTAATTAAATTTAAATTTATTATTATTTTCATTTAATTCAATAAATGGTTGGTGTGAGTTCACGATTTGGATATTTAATGAATTGAATGGGGTTGTCGTTTCAAATAAATAAATAAATAAATAAATAAATAAATATATATATATATATATAGATAAAAGTAATAACTAGATTTTTCTAAATTTTTTAATTTAACATAAATTTTTAATATCTTAAATTGAATTTCTGGAAGAATTTATTAAGAAATTTAGTTGATAATATATTTTTTCTTATTTTCAGGTAGCAGTGTATTTTCTCTTATTTCAATTTAGTTTGTTGTATTCTATCTGAACGTTGTGAATATTAATGAAAATTCGACTTTCGGTCCCACTTATGTTTCTCATTCTTAACAGAATTGCACAATACTAACCATCGTTAAACGAATCAAGATCTGACTTTGATTACCTAACGCTATTCATAGTTTGTTGTGTTAAACACTTAAGACAATGAAGCAAAAGTGAATCTAGGCCGGGAGTTCCTCCATATGCCTCCTTCTCGGTATGACATCACACAAACAACAATAATTATATCTTCAATGTCATTTGACACGTCAATTGTTATTGTTCTCCTATGTTAGCTTTTCGACTTTGCAGAAAATGGTATGGATCTTCGGGTTACTATACATAATATATATATTATATATATATATAATATGTGGGAGGTGGGCTCAGTAGATCTTTTAGCTTATCAGCTTTTCAAATTCAATGGGTTATAAATAATTCAAACTCTAAAATATCTAAGATATTTATGGTTAATTAGAAATTATTATTTTTATATTTTAGTTTGACCAAAAATAATTGTCTAGATATTTTAAAAATTAATATTTAGATTATTGAAAAATATATTTTAAAAATTACCATTTAAATATTTTAAGAATAAATTTATTCTAACTATAAATATAAATACTTTGAACTCATTAAGTTTTTATTTTTTATTATTTTTTTATTTTTTTATTTTTTTATCTCTGTGTCTTGTAATCTTTTTTTTTTTCTTGGTATAAATAAAGAGTGTCGGTGTTTCCTACGAAATAATAATAATAATAATAATTCAATTAAAAAAATATTATTATAATTTATCTCAAAGTTAATAGGATGAATTGATCTTAGATTAAATTATAAGTTTAGTTCTCATACTTTCGAATTTTTGTTTATTAAGTCGACCAGTTTTTAAAACTTTTTAACACGTTATTAAACTTTTGATTTTGTGTCTAATAGGTCATTGATCTATTCGATATTTTTTTAAAGTTTATAGATGTATTTCGTATAAAAATAAAAATAAATCGTGTTATTAGAACACAAATATCTAATATTATGTTTGATTAAAAAAAAAAAAAAATTTCTTAGTCAAAGACATTATCAATACTTTCAAAAACTTTAACCAAACACGAATAATTTTGAAAAAGAATTATTTTTCATTACAGGGGCTAATGCATGGACCGATTTTAGCATACCAAATTTTATTTTATTTTATTTATAAGAAAAATAGTAATTAAAGAATTAATATGAAATGAGTTAATTCATTGGCCAAGTTATAGTTGCCTCAAAATTTGATACAATAAACCAAGCGTTCTTTCTTCTCTTTCTGCTTATTCTCTGAACTGTAACCTGATGCCTGCTGTATAACTCTTGATCCTGAACAGGACCTTTTACTGTTGACTTACTCATGACCCGAACCGCGTAACCTAAAGGTTGGACAATGAACCTCTCAACCTAGAGCTAAACAATATAAAAAAATTTGATTAATTAGTAAATACCATGAAACTAAATTGAGTTAATAAATTTAAATTTATTATACAATTATATATACATATATTAATTTTATTTCTATTTAGCTTCATAATTATTGTGTGGATTATTTGTTTTCCATTCCCGATTTTTCAAAATATATATTAAAATTGAATTAAAAGTCTTAATTAAATATTTAAAAATAAATAAATCAATGTTCTATTAATCAACATTTTAATTTTACTAAAAAAAAATGAATAAATAATCTAAACAACTCAAAAAATTTATAGTTGGATTAGCTTCATTGTTTAATAAAAGTTTTGAGTTGAAAAATTTACGATTCGAATAATTAAATTGAGCCTAAAAAATATCAAGACTCGTCTACAAAATTTTAAGACTAATGCACCAAAGATGGTACATTTTAGAGTTTAATAATAAAATAAAATAAGCATCAAAATATATTTAAACCATTCATTTATCACTTAATCAGTCATTCTGGGTATGCTGATAGTCCTAAAACAAGCAATTTAAATCCTTGAATGCCAAAAATGATCTAATCTTTACACCAATGTAAAATATATTTAAGCAAACTGTACATACTATGAAACTAAAAGTAAAATAGATTTCTTTTTAAAGAAGTTTCATTGTTCTTTACCTAATCACCTAGAAGATTAAATTCCAAGTTGTTTTCTTATTTGGGTGGAGGAAATGTCCATACGAAATTTGTCTGCAGGTATTGAGATAAACATGTCTCTTAGCTCTTGTGGAATCTCAACATCTTCAAGAACCTGAATGACACCATTAGTAACAATGGCGAAGAAAAAGGAGCATCAGGATAAATTCTCAATTTGTAGGCAAAGGAAACAAAAGGTAATATATAAACTTCCTATAAATCGCTCAACCTTACGTACTTTGAAAACGCCATTTATGTTTCGACCACCAACGAGGAACGTCGCCCCAGTGTTCTTGATTCGGAGCAAAATTTCCAGCATCTTCTTGTAATCCCCATCATAGTATTTGGGCTGCAAATCAATGGAAAACCATGTAAGCAATGTTGGGTTGCATCAGATTTACACTGCCATTAAGGAGAGAATATACTGAAAAGTGAAATCAAGAGGGCCATTTCATAGCCTTTTTATTATTTGTCTTCTGTTTTCAAACATCATTCAAAGAAATTTTGAAAAGCAAAAAACATTCTCAAAGTCCCAAAATTTGATTAAAGATTTCAAGAGTACTCCTGAGAAGGGAAAAACTTAAAAAAGAAAATACGATATTTAGAACTCAAGGAGACTATTATACAACTTATGCTATATAACATATTCATAAGCTTAATTTCTAAAAATAAAATTATCATCAAACAAACTAAAGGAAATAACAACCAATAGAGGAAATTAGTGATGGCGGCATTAGCAGATGGTGCGTTATGACCTGTGCCATTACATATGTTCTGTAGTATTTATGTTGGGTTTCTTAAGACCTGCTTTCTAGCCTAAAATATAAAAAGAACAAAAGCAAACCAAAGAACAAGATAATGAGGGGAAAAAGCACCAAACAGAAGTTCACGTTTGGAGGAAAGGAAGTGAAGCTCTCGTAATATGTTAAATCAGAAAATGGTTCGATGAGAAGAAACATAAATATAGTTCCACTAGTCGAAACTTACATCTATCAACCTTACTGCAGTGTCAGCACCAATAACAAAGGCACTACCAGGGAAAAGTTCGGCTTTCTTGTAAAAGTAAGGCTGATTAGAAATGATTACTGACTTTCCTGCCACGCAGATTAAAATTGAAAGATAAATATTCACCTTAATCAATGTCCTCTTTCTTTTGCAAGCAATAATAATAAATAAATAGAAGGATAAAAAAAAAGAAGAAGAAAAGGAAACAGCTCTGGTACAACTGAAAAGCCACAGAAATTATGGGGTAAATTCTGCAAAATATCCCTTTTTAACTTTGAGATAGGTTTCAATTGTATCTCAAAGGTACCTTTAGACTATCATTTTTACTATCGTCGGTTTTCACATTGTTTCAAAAAACACATCTGAAAAGTTTTTCTATTAGAATGGTAGATAGAAAATTGACATAATGGCTAGTGTGTAAAAACTGGGAAGCATATGACATTATTTACAACATCATAATATGCAAAAATTGATTTTTGTAAATACTATGAAAGATATCCATGATAGTATGGGTTTAAATGAGAGTAACAACGATCTTAGATACATCAATTTCCACTCATCATTTGGGCATAATTTATAATTGAAACTCAAGTATTTGATAATTCAACCTAAAATACAGCATATGAAATAGGAAACATTTTTGAAACAAGACTCACCAACTTTTTTAAATTGCTCGACACGATCTTTGATCTGTGATACTGATAGGGGTGGTTTGTCAGCATTCACAGCCGATAATTCAAAACAAGGATACCCACCACCACAAATGCTGTACAAAAATAAGAAAGTTCAGATATCGAGGAACTAGGGAGAAAATTATTGACTTAAGATCTGGAAAAGATGAGTTCTTTAAAGAGTCTATCAGCCTCATTATGGCGTTCCTATTCTCTTAATTTTCTACTTCAATATCTGGTAGATTTCATGTGGTTGATGTAGCTTCCCAAATATATTGGATGTTGGTCAAGAGTGAGTCTAGGCAAAGAGAATTATCGTAAATTTAAAAAATATTAAACAACTCTACATACCTGGTTGCAACCTCTAAAAGCTTGACGTGACCATCGTGCAACGGATTAAAAGAACCAGAGAGTATTATTTTTCTTTCTGCATCTGTTGTAAAGGTCTCTGCAAAAAAAAAAAAAAAAAAAATTGATATGAGCTCTTGAAAATTTTAGTTGCCACCATATATAGTCCATTAAAATCAATAGAAATTTTACCCCTTAAAAATGGATAGACCTTAAAGCAAACTTCCCCGCTTTTAAGTTGCTCTAGTTCTTCATCCTCCGAGAATAGCGTTTCACATTCTTCTAATAAATCAGATCGAGTCAAATCTGAAACAAAGGTTCCAGGAACTTTACATGCGCTAGCAATTGCCTAAGACCAGAAAATAGAAAGGCTGACTAAGATATTAATGATATTTGCAAGAAACCAAACTAAACGTCAACTTTCAGAAAAATAAAAAGCCTAAAAAGTACAGTTTTCATGTTGGCATAATAAATATGCTTTCCAAGAAATCTATTTGAGAAATTGGATGAAGTATATCTGATACAGTATAGCATCAGCCGGAATTTAGAGTAATTTTAAAACTAGAGTTGCTTTAAGGCATCCTACTGACTAGGGTATTCCCAAATTTATAGGCTCAATTCATTAGAATTTCCTGTTGTGGTTAGATTTAGCCATCAATTACAGCTCCTACTGCCTGACAGAACGCTTAGTGATATTAATTATCAACTTATATATGAGTTTATCTCCTCCTACCTCCTACCTCCTACCCCCTTAGAATTTCAATTCTCTTTCATTGTTTTCTACACTACCACCTCACTATGTAATCTTTTAGCTATATCTCCCAACTCAGTTTTACATCATCTAAATGTTCTTATGAAGAATATACTTCAGCTACAATAATAGAAGAATATATAAGCTGTTGAGATGCCTGACGATACCATTTGGATCCTTGAACATACCTTAAGTAAAAGATGACTTGAGAGTATCTCCTCTTGCTCCCGAGTACGTAAACCCTAAAATAATCAAGTAATAACTAACAAAGATCAGATGATTGACCTAAAAGCCAAAGGGTTAGATGAATTAGATTCTCTTCCCTTTAAAAAATTACCTTCGACAGTGTGATTGTGGAAACCCAACGTCGGTTAGCCAATCTTGTTGACATATGCATCCTACACATAATACGAGAGACCTTTATATAAAAGACATATATTAAAATAGGGGGAAAAATCTACAAGCAGGTATTGCATGCTATTACGCATCACACTACATAAGAACGGAATTGTACTTCATTTATCATTTAGGCCTACTCAAACTGCAACAGCCCATTACCTATTTCCACTAAATTCGATTTTGTGCTAGACCAGTTTTATAAAAACCAAAAATATGATTGCACTGTTGAACACCAATGCTAGACTGATTTGGAGAGAAACAGGTGATTGTAAGAGGATACTGGTAGTATGAGTTTCCTAACTTCTACCCTAATGGATGTCCTACCCACATATAGCATGAAAGCATCCAAGTCAATAGAAACTTTGACAAACTACCTGTGATCACCAAATTTTGGATGAGTGGTAGCCAAAGAACCAGTAAAACCGACACCAAGAACAGGATAACCTGTCAATCAGATCACTAGATAAAGGCAAGTTCATTGAAACACAGTGACAGAATTCCGTTAGACAAATATAGTTAGCATGAAATACTTATTGCACTCTTTTAACACATTAGAACCTAAATTTTCAATTATGAAAATCCAGACTTCAAACATTTGTTTGTTGCTGCAATATATACTGGGTCCTAAAACACAATAAAAGAATTCAATTCAACAAATATTTGTGGGTAATAAATTCAACCCATAGCAACTTTACTTCATTACACGTGCCCCAATCTTCCATTGGGGCAGCCTACTTCCTTTAAATCCCAACCTCCTTTGTTTGCACCTTTTGATATAAGTGAATATTGAAACAAAGTAAAAGGACAAAAAACTTGTAGAGACGATGATGGTCAACTTCCTACGAATCTATCGATATAGTGGTTTTATAGTGCTCCAGAAAAATGCGTCAATATCTCTTTTTGGATTGAAGTGAAGGATAGAATTTTCAATAGCATCTAGAACATTTTACAATCCATCTGTCGAGATGGTGGTTTTGGGATAAAGGAAGAGAGCTTCAGAAAAATGCTTCAATATCTTTTTCCCAATTGAAATGAAGAACAAAAATTTTCAATAGCACCTAGAATGTTTTCCAATCCAAGCTAAACATGCCTATTACCTTCCTTGAGGTTGAAAGTTCAATCTTCTACCCCTACATTTGTTGATCCCAAAAGAAGAGGAAGAAGAAGGATGAGTAACAATCTAGACTTTTTCATTTTGATCTTGGACAGTCCAGAATTGCTACTTAAGAGTGTTTTATGTAAGAACGTTTGTAATTGCACCACTTTCTTGATCAATGTAGAATGGGAATGTTACTAATGTACCTCTTTCATTGGGGATTTCTTATCACCCTGATCTTTTTATACATTTTTCAAATAGAAAACTTCACTCATGGAAAAAATTGGATGTCATAGTGAGGAAAGGATTTTTTAAAAAAAGAAAAAAAAAAAAAAAGAAGAAAAGAAAATGTTCATCTAACATGTGTTGACATACACAAATAAGCAAAAAGAAACTAAATAATATTAATGAAAGATAAACGATAACCAGTTTAAATGTTAACAATCAAATTTTGAATTAAAAAATCAGAGTCCTGGTAAGAGAGAAAGCAGGAAATAAATTTTAATTGATCCAATAATGATCAATTATAAGAAACAATATCATGTATATCTTGTGTTTTTTTTTCCTATGCGTATAAAAGGAGAATACTCGAGATAAATAGCAGAAACAAGTAAGCAAGTGAAATTCCAAATAATGTCAAAGCAAGTGTCCGGCAATTAAATAGCAATTATGTCCTATGCCCAAATTGATTGATGAATAGTGTACGGGTAATTGTGTTGGAATTTTGATGTATCAAGCTAAAAATATTAAATGTGTACAAGATAAATAGCCTTTAAAAGCATTTGATATGAAATTGGACCAAGTTTTCATCGTGTTCAAATGAACTTCCATAATTTCTATAAGAAAAGAAATAATTTATATTTTTATTGTATCAAGATACCATAGAGATGAATTTCACAACAGTTACAAACCTGGCCTAGATAGCTTTAGAGCACGATTATAAGCCAGCAAAGCCATTTCTTCAGCAGTTTTACGGCTACAACATTGAGAGGGAACCTGCATCAAAGAAACAAAAGTATCAGCATTGATTTTAGCTATATTTGACACTGTTCATTGAGATTTTTCCATTATGATTTGGATGGTTATAGGTATCCTAGACAAGAACTAGAATAGCATGTTTTGGTAGAAAGCTTAATTTTCCGCCCTTCTATTGATAACATACTCGAACACAGCCATAGAAAGATCAACAGTCTTTGGCAAGCATTTAAACCCTTGAATAGCCAACGCTAGCTGCTTCTACAAATTGATCTAATACATCATATTTTCTTTCCTCAAGTAAACTAATAAAAATTCATCAACTCCTTAAAATCATCAAAATTGGAAAAGAAACTATTAACCCTACTATAAGCACCAGAATCACCCTTATATTGGATACTTCATCCATGAGAATCAAATTCGACCGCTGTTATGAACTCCGGTGCAGGTTAAATGTCCAGGAAGATGTCGAGTTAAAATGAGTAAGAATGCAAATTGCAATCTTCTTTTGCAGTCGATTTCATTCAGTTTGTCCCCCGCTATGACTAGAAATAGTAAAATAAACATTAACTACTGCACAATTCTTTCGCTATGGCTAACTTTAGCCGCCAGTTCTCGCAGATGTTCCAGTCGATGAAAAATTTCATTCATCGCACAACTATGAAAATTTAAGCATCAATAAAGAATTCTTTAGGGACAGTGCTTAACCTTGCCGAGTAACTGGATCATGGAAGGCCTAGAGTAAGGTACGACAGCTTCGAGGACTGTGCCGGAAGCTCCAGGAACTGAAAGCAACCATCCTATGGCCTAATCGTTCATATACAATAATCCGAATACAAGTAAGAAGATGGTGATGAACGGAAATCAAAGCAGAAGTGTGTGAAATAAAGAAGTTATATGGAGACCTGAGAAGCGCCGCCGGAAAGGTAGAGAACAGCCTGAGTAGGGCTCAAGTGAATGGCATCGACGGCAGCTTTGACCAACGTATCCGTCATCGCTTCTCCTTCCACGGTCCACTCTCTTTCAGCCCTTCCTCCTCTGGAACGATGCCAAACCAGAGAATCCCCAATCTTTTTCTCTTTTTTCTTTTTATTTATTTTTAATAAATTATGAATTATTAAATTATTCGAGTCCAATAAAGTTATAATTTAGATTCCATGATTTATGAATTAAAATTCTTCGTAGTTTCTTATTTAAATTCAGGATTATTTTGTTATTTTTAGAAGAAATAAACATGTTTATGAATTTTTGTACTTCAAATTTATTTAGAATATTGAATCAAATCCACACATTTCAATCCTTTAATATGAATTTTAAACCGATGAGTTTCATTTAGCGTGTGGTTAGAAGATTGGCCACAATCTAAGTGGTACTATCCACCCTACCCTACCTAAACCTCTCTGGTCTGATCGTCGGCTCTTTCTAAGAGACAGGAATGTAAATAGAAAACATCGAAATTTCAAGAAGATGAGTTTCATTTATTATTAGATAGTTATAAATTGTAGGTGAATAATAACATGTGTTCAAATTTTTTTTATAATTCAGTTTTTAGTTAAATAATTACGAGTGTAACCAACATGAGCATTAGAATGAGGGTAAGTGACATATACTCGTTCAAACCCTGAACCTTTGAAGATGATAATGAATGTCTAGACATTTGGTGGCTACAATTTGGGAATCTTGTCATCTCATAAAAGAAACATCTAATAATGACTAACTTAATGAGTCACTTTTAAGCGATGTTTATCCAGTCGACATAGAAACTCGAACCAACATGTTTTGTTCCACCTTGAAGCATGTGATCGGCATCGGTGTTGCTACAACGGCCATCAACAACAGTAAGTAACTTTAGGTGATTCGAGAATAGATGCATCTTTATCTTTGGATTCTGAGTCAAAAGATTTCGATAATTTCGATACCATCCATTTAATCTTTGTTAGGTCGTCAATATAAGCATAATCAACAAACATAAACACATGTACCCTCCTCCAAAAATATTGAACTTTTTAAATAAGATGGTCAAACAAACCCATTTAATTTCTATAAATCCAATAAAAATTTGATCACCTATTTGATAATTTGAAATCAGTTCCAAACATCCATCGAGAAGAACAATGCCTAGAAGCCACATTCAGCCAAAAAGTTACCTATTTTCACTTGGTATCAAATCGGCCAAAAAGAATATCAGAATCATATGTTCCACACCACACTAAGATTAGCCAGGAAGCTATGAACTTTTCAAAATAAGAAAACCAGGACAATGAGAATTAACACTAAAACAGGTTATAGCTAGGTTAGCTCTGCTGCTAAGCAAGATCGGTGATCCATCATCACCCGCCTGAACTCTTTTTACTCGCGTTGCCACACAATCTAATGACTGATATGCAAACCAAGAAGCATGGCCACACAATCTAATGACCGATATGCAAACCAAGAAGCATGACTATAAAAACAGAAATTGCTATCTAGTTTTTATAGAAATTGCTATCTAGTTCAAGCTCTTTGTCATAAATCACTGCGACTCCCTTGTGAGGAGGCACTCCTTAGCTAAGAACTGCCAACAACGAGCATTTACCTCGGACATTAAAACAAAATCAGAGATAGGAACTTACAAATTTCTTGTGAGCTCTATAAGTTCTTCAAGCAATAAATGATATAATACATTAAGTAAAAAAATAAATATGGTTCTCTATTCAGTCTTTACAGCATACTAGATGTGTTACATTTGCTTGATAAAATAAATATATTTCATGTTCAGTCTTTAAATATCCTGGTTTCAAATCTCTGTATGTATATAACGATAAACATTCATGCTCTATACTACGTGTTATCTTGTGTGATCTGGAACTGGTACATTAGGATTACCTTGACCTTTTCCACCATTCATTTTCGTAGAAAACAGAATAAGGAGGAGACCTGGATTCGGCCTCGGTCAATGAACCTTGCATGAAAAAAGAGTCCTCAAAAACTTCGAAACCCTCTTTGCACATAATCCTCAATCCAGCACCAAGATTTACGCAGAATCTTCAACATTCATTCTGCAAGAAAATTTATGATCTCCAGACATGCAGGAATGGCAACCAGAATCGGCTCGAAACCAGGATAAGGACGTGTTACATTTGATCAAATCAAGCAAGAAGAAAATTTATTGATGAGTGGATAATCAAATTGCATCATGCTGGCTAAAAAATTCGATGATACATGGGTACACCTGTTCAGCTGCCTGCATATTTTGGGGGAAGTGAATAATGGCAACATCAAATAGAAAACTTGAATCGACAGCAAAGTCCATGAGGGTGAATAAAAGAAAGGGAAAGAAAATAATACCAGCCGGCCCCCAACTAAATCATAATGAGCATAATGTGGACCTCCTGGTTCTCCAAAACACTTATAGGTAACCAGGTGCTCAGGAATAAGCTTTGCAGTTGCTGCGTCATTGGAATCACCATAAGCAAGATGGAGAAGATCTTATAATTATGAAGATAAGAAAATTATATTGCACATCAGTGCTCAATGAATGTACCTTCTACAGCTACAGGTGGACAAATTAGATCCTGATCTCCAGCCAGCGCTAAGACTGGTATGTTACATTTATGTATATGGTCCTTGTAAAAAAAGGTATTACTTCTGTCTCGTAAACCATCCTCTCGAAAAGCAGTAGTAAGTTGTATGATGAGTTTAGCGGGAATGGTACCTGCATTCATAGATGAACTTGACTTGGTAGTTGTATTATGAGCACGAGAAAACAACAGTAGTAGATGGAGTTTTTGGCCAGATTTGGTTCTCCAGTGAACTAAAGTTTCAACAACTGAAATGAAAATCAGGCATATTTTCCCAACATTTTTTTTAACATTACTTAAACTTGCAGTGAGAATATAGAAATTTCTTGGTGTCAAACAGACTTCAAAAATACATCGAAGAGGCCAAGGAGCTGCCATGGTTTTTACAATAATAAATCCTTAATAATTGACTTGAGTTATAATAACCCATGTTCAATCCTTATGCAAGTATCAGCAAGACTCTTAGAACGACTAGATGTTTCCGTTTCTGCCCTCTTTACGCATAAAAAACTGATTTCCAAACACGTTTGCTTTAAAAAAAAAAAAAAGAAAGAAAGAAAGAAACAGCCATTTCCATACACGTTAACTCAAGAATAAAACTTCATCAAAATGAACTTGAGGATTATTTTACCCAAAAAAAAGAACCTTATAAATGATCCAAGAACTATATTATCAATATTACCTCGGTCCTTATCCAATTTCCTCACTTCCGACATCCCACCAACAATTGTTGTATAAAAATAAAAACATCCCACCAACAATAGTTGTATAAAAATAAAATTTACATCCAAATCTATTTCATAGATGCTCCTCTTTGTGTGTTCTGTTCATCAATGTGTGTGCTTTGTCCCGGAATGAATAGGAATTGGAGCATTCAGGATTTGCTGGGAAGAGGTATACGACTGGAAGCACGGGGATATAAATTGAGGACAAATCTTACTTATAGAGAGGTGGAACAGTGGTTTCTCAGGCTTTGCTGGGATGAGGTCTTCAACTAGAAGCATGGGGGTACAATTTGAGGAGAAATTGTACAGATAGACAAGGTAGAACAGTGGTTGTTCAGGCTTTGCTGGGATGAGGTCTAAGACTGGAAGCATGGCGATATAATTTGGGGAGAAATCTTATCGATGGAGTGGTGGAACAGTAAAAAATTCCCAAATAAGATTTAGATTATTCCTGTGGGAAATCTCACAGAGTAGCATCAACATCCATGATGTCGACCAGAAAAGAAGTCCCTTTGCAGCTCTATTATCTGGTATGCTCTCCTTTTGTAAAAAGGATGCTTAGACTCGGGACCATCTCTAATTAACCACTGCACATTTGCATCTCACCTCTAGAATTGCCTTCTGGCATTACTCGATTGGCTGCCGGCCCAAACAGGTCCATATGTGAGAAGCCTACTCTCCATATACCTTGAAGGCCATCTGTTTTTGATCGAGAAGGAAATCTTCAGCTTAACTTAATCTCGGTAGGGTTCCAGTTGGGTATTCTACGGCATGATAGGAATGACAGACTTCAACAGGAAGTCAAAATCCGATTGGAAATGCTTCAGTCACCTAATTTTTAGTCTATTTTGGAGTCAATTTTATTATTGTTCATTTTTTTTTTTTTTTTTGATAACTAGGAGTTGAAGCTTTGCTCCCCTATACTCAGGGGCACCCAACTTGTCCCAAGGCCAAACCCGGGTACATCAAGGGTTTTTGGAATTAAGTTCATCTCTTGGAGTAAATTTTATGCTCCTATCAATTTTTACAGCTTCTTTTCTATGTGCTAACTGGAACCCCTTTTTAACTACCTTGGCATATGGGCTCTTCGGGCTATCCTCCCTATCTTGTAATTCCATTTTAGCAATGCACCAAAATTGGTTTCTCTTCTTGTTCCACAATTGGTGGTCATTTCATTCATCAACCATGATCATTCATCAATGATATATCTTTGATGAAATTGGTTTGCCATTAAAAAAAAAAAAAGTTAATGCTCCCTATACGAACATGTGGCTCAAGGAAACATTTTTCTTTTGATAACCATAAGTTTCATTGAAAAAGAAAAAGAAGAAGAAAGACTACAAGGGCATACAAAGATCCTACAATAAAGCACACCACCATAAGAACCAACCCTTTTCATGAAAAGGCAAATGAAGAAAATCTCGCTGATCATATCCCTAATGTCCCTCTAACTAGGAATCAGAATCATGAAAAATAGACTATTTGGTCGTTGAGGTTTCAAAATTGATTTTCTATAAAAATTCCACTTATGCTCTATGAGATGGTTTTGGTTTCTATTAGGTTGTAGTCTCTGAAATTTGAAAAATAGTTCTAATTAGTCCTCTAATTTAATTAAACTGATTGATATCTGACCTAATGGAAATATAATTTGATGATTAAGTTGTGGATTCAATTAAGTTAATAAGGCAGTTTTAATTGTAGTGGCAAACTGCATATATATTGCTCTCTCTTTCCTCCATCTCCCTCTCCCTTCTCTGACTTCTCTCATCCTTCTCCTCTCCTCCTCCTCCAATGGACTCTGA